GAAAAAAAAACTAAATTTAGATACATTCGCCCCAAGAATTTCACCCTAAAAAGTCTGTTCTGCATTGTCATTTAACTCATATGATGATCGTTTCACAACTTCCCTCTTAAACAATGTCTGCGTATGTTTAAGACGATAGTAGGATACAATATCAGTTGATAACTGCCATTTTTTTTTGGATGTCGTCATACATGCATTATGATGATTAGGTATGATGTTAGTTTAGAACTTCCCTATGGTACTGCTTTGAGAAACTGCAAAAAAGTGGACAATGGTACCCCTTTAAAAATGAAGAAAATATAACCCGAGGAAAAAACATTTGCAACGTCTATTTTTTCATAAAACATTGGTCTAAGTTCATTAATATTTAATATGCTCTGTTTTGAAGTTGATAAATGTCGGTAGTAACTAAATTTTTTTCACCACGTGCTTTTCGCTACCCGTCTTTGAGTTTCAAGATAAATTTTGGGTGTTGGGGAATTATGTTTATGGCTAGAGGTTTTGAATCGGTAAGAACGTAGACTAGTAAAATCTTGGAGAAGAAAATTACGAAATTTAAACGAGAAAGAAGCTCTTATGAACTTGCTAGGTGCCCTTCTACTTTTTTAAAAAAATGACGAAAACGATGCGTTGGAATATTGGGCACTTTGCAAATGATATATAACATACGAGAACGATGAGTTGGGATCTGGGTACCACCAAAAAGTTATCCAGATGATTGTTAAATAAAATAATAGATTAGTTATTTAGCGTTTTTTCTTTTTCGATATTAGTCTACTGGTTATAGATCCAAACATATATTGAAAATTATTAATATATATAGGCACCTTGCAACATGGTCCGCAAAAGCTGAAACTTTTGGGCAAAGTTTGGATTTTTAATTTGAGTCCAACGAAAACTTCTATGGGCTCTACTTGACCTTCTCTATAATAATAGCTACCTTGTCAAGTCCACAATGTCCAATCCAAATCTTTTTGCGCAAGATGAATGAACGGTAAACCAACTCATGAATCGATTTTCTGCGTCATTAACCTCCCTTTGATCATACCCATACTCGCCGACAAACAAAGGATATGGGTTTGATCCTTCCATTACACATCCAGCATGGTTTACAAAGCCATTGATAATATTTGTGCAAATATCGTTTAGTGGTTGTTGTACAAATTTGGTCTCACAATCTTCACTAAAGGAATACAAGTGCACTTTAAAAACCAACTTGTTGTCTAACGTGCTTACGTTCAAGGGCTTCTCTTTTAAGCATCATTAAAGGGCTTCTCTTTTGAGTATCGAAGATCATTATCATAATTTAGGCCAGAAACAATAACTAAAACCTTTGAGTTGATGTTATGGATTGTTGTTACTCCTTGATTTACATAATTGTTCCAATCGTTTACGTTTTCTATTGTTCCTCGTATCTCATTGCGCACTAATTGCAACCACCTAAATACCATAAAAAAAAAATAAAAAAAAATAAATAAATTGTTAAATTCAACTTGTGTTCATTCCATGTTCGGTCCGATCATACTAGTGCACTGGATCCCATCAAAACTTCGTAGTCAAGTGGGCTTTGGGCGACAGTAGTACTAAGTTGGTTGACCACTTCGGAAGTACTAGTATTGCACCCTTTTTATTTCTATTTTGTTTTTTGTTTTTTGTTTGCCATTTTGAGTTAAAAAAATGCAAGTGGAGAAGATTGAAACATTAGCTGGTGCATTTTCCTCACACGTATGCTCAAATTGACAAAATACATAGTACTCGAGGGTATGTAAATGTGGCAGGTCAACTTTATTAATGATATCATATCGTATGCATAAGTTAATAAATTAAATTAAAGAGAGGAAACTCATGACGTAATGGAATATCATTGCACGAGTTAATTAGAAAAATAATAGTTTTAAATTGAGAGAAACCGTTCAACAATATAGTAATAGGTCTTTAACGAAAGTAATAGGTCTTTAATGAAATCTTTGTATCGTTAATGAAATAAATAAGACCAAGTGAAATATATAACAATATAATTAATACTCAAACTCACTTTATATGTACATTTGATTGGACAAGCTTAAACCATTGACTTTGAGGATCTTCTTGCACTCTATGTCAGAGAATTACATATACGAGCTTGCTTGGTCCATATGCGCAACATGGGTCCAAATTTCACTCCAATTGGAAAGTAGAGTTCAAGACGTGATATTTTTATGAAAAAATAGGTTATAACAGGATTGCATGCGATTACATTTGCTAACTCCAACAGTGGGGCTACTTATTGAGTATTTTTTAAAATAACCAAATTACGTGCCATTTTCATTTTCAAGTAAGGATAAGTACCCTCGTACAGATGACATCATCACTGTGTAGGCCGTAACATTTACATTTAGCATTCCTTCAAAAATCTAGTTATTTTGATTTCTACTACTATTGCTGACATCACTATTACCTTTATTTTAAATGAATTCAAACATTTAAATTCATAACAATGTTTACATATAATTGTTCTAAATGAATTTTCGCAATATTAGACCAGCAATACCGATAGTGACATCTCTATTTTATTAGAAAAAAATAGAGTCGTTACAAACAACCTAAAATTTTAAGTAAGGGCAAGGTTGTGGAGATACCATGAAGTGCTATCGAATAAAATGCAAACTTTGTTATGTTGTTATTGAAACTTTTATTTTATTTAATCGAATAAAAATGTATTCTTTAATTTACTTTCTAAAGGGTATCCTATAAAGTTATATGAGCTTGCAACCCTAATTCTTGTAGTCATGATACTGCATCATCAAGTGATGCACTTTAATCCATATTGAATGAGAATGGGAATAGAGATAAAAATATATATGTATATATATGAGTATGAAGAGGACATTGAATGAATTAAATGCAACACTGACTGAGCTTCCAAGAAGCAAGTAAAGGTAGGGTATGATTACAAAAGAAGATCTAAGTTGTGTTAAAGAGAAAGGGGGATTGAATGAATTAATT